CCCTTCAATTCCTCTTACAGCAGTGCTTTAATAAAGTCACATAAGTGATTGAAATTAACATAAATCATTATTAGTTATTAGGATTTGCTCTAAATTACTCTGTGAATATAACACCAAACCCCATCTGCCACTCCTGCTCTAGCAGCAATAGATTGCAGATAAAATAAATGTCCTTACCCCATTAGAATGTTCCTGTCTCTGTAGCCAAAAGCCAAACAAAAGCAATAAATACAGAGCTTTTTTCTCTCCACTATTCAGCTGTGACTGTTTTCATCAGCTCTTCCTCTAGAAAAGCTCGATAGCTGCCTGAAAATATTGCATTTTATATCACCAAAGGGCGATTAATATTGCATTAACTGTATTTAACATTTTTTAAGCGCGAGTAATCTGAAATGAGTAAGTTTCTGTTACTAAATACAGGGGATGTCAGAGCTGGTGAAAACATCTTAAAATATCTGTATAAACAGATTATTTGTTTCATACTTTGTATTTTTATAATGTTATGGTATAGTGTGCTCTGTTTGAAGTAGAAGAAGCCATGCTAATGGTCTGTTTAAAGTATTCTGACACTGTCTGGAGACATCCAAGTCTCTGCCTTCATTAAATGTTTATTGTCAACACTTCAGTGAAAAAAAGTCTTGTGTAAGTGAATTTCCACTGCTGGATGCTGTCAACACTTTGTTTTATTCTGATCTGCGTGTTCAAAAGTTTGTATACATTATGCTGAAGTGAAAGAGGAAGAGATTTCGTGAGCTATAATTAGTTACCAAACAAACTTTTGTTCGTAATTCGGTTTACATAATGACCATAATCAAGGGCTAAGTTATGTATATCGGCGCCTTGTCTTCTTTCTCCTCAGCCTGTGAAAAGATGTATTCATGTTGACATGCTATCCTCTTGTCAAGGAACATCTTTTTCTAAATAAAAAGATTTTTAAAAACCCAAACCCAACCTTAAAAAAAAAAAAAAAAAAAAAAAAAACAACCACCAAACCACATCTTTTACATATTTTAGCTGTGGCTTACACTTTTAAGCTGCTTTCTTTTCCCCGGGCGAGGGATGCCCGTACGCCTCTATGCCCCCCACACCGCTGCGTTTGCAGCAGGAGCCGTGTGGCTGCAGCTCCCGGTGCTGAGCCCGGGCGCGGGGCCGTTTGGCTCCGCGCCGGGAACCGTGCTGCGCTAGCCCTGGGCTAGTCCTGCGCTAGCCCTGTGCAAGCAGAAGGGTCGCTCGGCGTCCCCACCGACGGAGACTGGTTTGAGGCTTTTACGACTCGCTTGCGAGTATCAGTGCGAAATTACCATTTATCTTCGTTGTACCAGAGAGCTGTGTCTTCTTTTCGTTATTTATTTATTTATTATATAAAGCATTTTAAATACTTCTGTCCTTAGAGTGATTAACGCCTTATGACATCAGATTTTTTTTTTTTTTAAAGCAATTCCCCCTCTTCGCTTATCGATATGTTTGGGGTTTGGTTTTGGTTTTTTGTTTTGCTTTGTTTTGGGTTTTTTTAAGGGGTGTTTAACAACTTTTCCCCCAGAGTTAGAGCTGCTTTAGTATACTTCGGTGAGCAGGCTGAAGGAGTTAAAATGTAGTTCAAAGGAGGACTCCTGCTTTCCCAGAGGGGCTCTGCGGAAGTCCCGAGACCAATTTGGGAAGCAGATTTGAATGCGCAGCTGCCCCTCGACGGTGAGCCACGAGCAGGGTTTGGCTGCTGACACGGCCATAAATCCGCTCTGGTACAGCAGCCCGGGCTCGCCGGCCCCGTCTGCCCGCGGAAACACCGCGCTGAGTCCGCCTTAAAGTCGCATCTTAGACCAGCAGGAGGAAAGACACTCCGCGGGGAGGTGGGCGTGGGGGAAGCATCCCGCGGTCCCCTCCGCCCCCCGCGGAGGCAGCCCTCGAGCAGGAGGTGCGGCGGAGGTCCCTCACCTACGGCCGCTGCTATCGGCTGTGCGAAAGCAAAGGCGGAAAGTGCGCGCCTCTGCCCGCGGGTCGCTGCCTGCCCCTGCCTGCTCCTGCCTGCCCCTAACCGCTGCCTGTCCTCCCAGCGGTGCAGCCGCCACTTTCTGCTGCTGCTGCTTCTTCCAAGATTTATACGTGACATCCTATTTTAAATTAACTTTTGAGCCCTGGATTTCTTTCACCCCTCCGCGCATCCGCCCTCCTCTCTGTCTTGCCATGATGTAAAGAGACTTGTTTGCAGCTTTACCACCTCGATCCCATCTCTGGGACCTCTATATTCAGCTGACCTATATATTCATCCACTGCTTTTCTCCCAAACTAAGCCTCCTTCAGGTGCGAAGGGGTTGCAGAGGAGGAAAAACCAAACGCTTTCCAAAAGCGGAAGGGGAAGGGGGAAGGAGGGGAAGCGAAGAGGCAAGGGGGAGTGGTGGTGGTGGGGGGGTGTCGTGCAGCACGCCTCCCATCAAGCTGTCTTGACAACAATTACTAAAGTTTTTAATTAGCCTCTTGTTATAATTCATTTTATTAATTTTCTAAATCTCAGCCCATGAATTATTAACGGCGGCTCCGTAATTGTGTTTGCAGCGGCGCACGTGATGGCGGCGGCCCCGCCGCGCCGCGGCTCTCCCCGCGTGGGTCCCCTTCGCGCCCAGGCTGGGGACGTGGGCCCAGGCAGCAGCGGGATCCGATATTTTATCAACTCTTAAATAACATAATTACCGATAATCAGACGCTCGCCTGGCAGGTGGAAAGAGGTTCCCAAGCGGATTGGAATTCTGCTGCTGATCTTTTAAAAATCAATTAGGCTTTCCTCCGCTTTGGAATCAGCAGGTAAATATAACAAACCTTAAAAAAAAAATAAAAATAAAACAACTCCCCAAAAAAAACCGCCGGCTGAAAAGCTAGACATAAATAACTGGAGGGATTTAAAATCGTTTGGGAAATGCCAGAATAACACAGGGCAGCAACGGCGGTATCAAGCTTTATGCTCTCGAGTCCGTCAGAGTTAAAATAATTATCTTTCGACAAATCTATCTCTCTTCAGAGGAAAGGGGGAACACGGGGAGGCGGGGAGGGAGGCACATAAACCATAAAATCTGTGCTGTAGGACACTTCATTCTCCTTCTGGGGAGCCTTTTTACTTGTTGAACCAGCACCGAATTAGTCTTAATATCACAGGAGAGTAAAAATCAATACGATCGTGGCAGTGGGTGTCTGTTATTCACTTATGATGCCTAATCTAAGTTGAAAGCAATCGGAGAGCAAGTGTTAAGCAGAAATTCCAGGAGCCAGCCCGGGTCTTGCGGACTTAGGACTGGAAAATCATATCAGAAGGCAGTGAAATACCTCAGGTGTGGAGAAAA